ATAAATTTCATATCATGTAATCATACAATATATATTCTTAGGAGTCTAATTTGTTTACATAATGTTTTGTGGCATATCTATTTTGTTGTATGCGAGTAGTTCATTCCTTTCTAGTGCTGTGCAGCATTCCATTGTATGAATATACTACATATTGTTATCCTTTTACCAACTCATAGACAATTCAATTGTTTCCAGCTTCTGATGATCAGTTATGCTATGACTAACTGTTCACATTCAAACCCTTCACAGATACACGTAGAATAGAAGAGCCTCACCTTTAAAGACAGTGACTCACACTTGCTACTCTTTACCATTAACATCCAAGTTATTTTTCACACTGAAAATGGCAAACATCTGAGGCTCATACGTATTTAATAAACTGGTATTAAATTCCTACTGATACTTAATAAATGTCTGCTAAAGATAATACAGACCTCAACTTTAAATGTTAAAAAAAGTCTTTGTCTCAATGAGTTTACCTGCTACATAAAAACTGATTAAACATCCCTAAGTTTCACACAAAGCAATCCATTAAATGTGCTTCTCTAAAAGTCTTCTCAAAAATACATCAACATTTTACTTAAAACTATCTTCAAGTCTTCAAGATCACCCTCACTAAATTTTCAGCTATTACATTCTTTAAAAATTGAACCAGAATTGGCCCTCCCTGGTGATGCAGCAGGTTAAAGCACAGCACTAAGAAGCCAAAGCCACTTCAGCATGAGTTCAATCCCCACCCGCCCTGGAGGTGACCCACATGGTGTGGAAGACTCTCCTGACCCGTCCACTGCTCCCCTCAGCAGTGAACTTAGTCAGTTGGCCTGTTCTGCTCCCCATTCTGTCTCTGGTGAATCCTCTCACCACTCCTGCACCTCTGACCTGTACCCCAGTTCTGTATGCATAAACCTTTAAAAAAAATAAACCAGAATTACTAGTATTCACAGTCCCTCAAGTCTAACTTTGTATTTTATTTTCATTCTTTCCTCCGCCATCCCTTAGTTGTCTTTCTCCCTCCCTCTCTCAATCTCAACACCCTCACTTCATTTATTTATGTCTACTAGTTTTGTTTTTTTTAAAGATTTTTAAAATTTACTTATGCATACAAGAGCTGGGGTATAGGTCAGATGTGTGGGCGGTAAGAGGATTCTCCAGAAACAGAATGGGGAGCAGATCAGGTAGACTGACTGAAATACACTGCTGAGGGGAGCAGCAGGTGAGACAGGAGAGGTCTGGTGCCCCATGTGGGTCAGCTCTCTGACCAGGGATCAAATTGATGCACAGTGGCTTCAGAGAGTTTCACAGTTTAACAGTTTAACCCCTTGCACCCTCCACTAGTTTTTATGAACATTTTACTTTGTCAAATTGTCCACTATGTAAATGTCTAATATTTGTTTTGGTCATTCTGACTTGCTTTGCTACACATAATTCCCATGAACTCCCTTAATTCTGCAGCATGTGGCAGAAGTTTGTCTTTTTGTACTATTAAATAGTACTCCATAGTATAAATGTATTACATCTTCTTGATCTATCAATGGGCATTTAGGTTGCTTTCTTGAGTTTGTAATTTACAAACAGAGCTATAATAAATACTGCAGAAAACACAAGTTCTTATAATGACGATTTCATGTTCTTTGGATGGATACCCAAGAGCAGGGCTGCTTGATCATACAGTATTTCCATTTCTAGATTTTTAAGGCAAATCCTGGGCATTTCCATATGGCTACAGGAACTGACTTTCCTATCAACAATGTAATGATGGGTTCCTCCTTCTTTGTATCCTCTCCAGCACTTGTTGTCAGGAGTCTATTCAATATACGACAATTTCACAGGTGTACAGTGATATCTCATTGTGATTTTAATCAGCACCTCTTTTTTTTTTTTTTTAAAGATTTATTTATTT